TCAGCTCACTGGCTTCCACTGCATTATCTAATCTGCTTCACTGTGTGAATTCATAGAGTCTGTAATTTTGCATTAAAGAATTTATCTGAGGCAAAAGAATGGCAATTCGTGTCCTACTTTTTAAAGAAAAAAAAAACCTACCTCTTCCTACTCTCTGCAACTATTAACAAACTTTGGATATGCAAGATTTTCTATTTCCTGACTTTGGATCACTTCCACTAGTACTAGAACACATGCAATTTTAAAAGCATGTTTCAACCGCCACAAGTTGATTTACAGGAAAGATTTAATTTGGGAATTTTAATTTGGCTCTTCTTTCTTCAGTGAAAGAATTGCATGGGATAGAGTCCTGGAGAGAAGAGGAGCCCAGGAGAGCTGGCTTATTTTCAAGGATCGCCTCCTCCAAGCTCAACAGTGGCCCTTCCTGATAAGCACAAACCCAAGCAAAGATGGCAGGAGGCCTGCATGGATGAACACAGAGGTCCCAAGTAAACTCAAATACAAAAAGGCAGCATTCAGGCAGTGGGAGCAGAGACAAGGGACCCAGGAAGAATTATAAAGACAGTGTCTGAGCATGCATGGTCAGGGTTAGGAAAGCCAAAGCCCTTCTGAAGTTAAATCTGGTGAAGGACATGAAGGCCAACAAAAAGGGCTTCTACAGGTATATCAACAGCAACAGGAAAGCTATGGAAAATGCGTGCTTGCTGCTAAATGGGGTATGGGACCTGGTGACAAAGAATGCCGAAGAGGTCAAGGAACTCACTGCCACCTTCACCTCAGTCTTTAATGGTAGGATTTGCCTTCAGGAACCCCAGGCCCCTGAGACCAGAGAGAAAGTCTGGAGCAAGGAGGACCTACCCTTGGCAGAGAAGGATCAGGTTAGGGAACATTTAAACAAACTGGACATACCCAAGTCTATCGGACCTTATGGCATGCCCCGTAAATGCTGAGAGAGCTGGCTGACGTCAATGAAAGCTTGTTTATCATGACTTTAGCAAGGCTTTTGATGCTGCCTCCCATAACATCCTGATAGACAAACTGATGAAATATGGATCAGAGAAAGACAGTGAATTATGTTGAGAACTGGCTGAACTGCCAGGCTTAAAAGGGTTGTGATTAGCAGCACAAAATCCATCTAGAGGCCAGTCTCTAGTGGTGTACCCCAGTGGCTGATACTGGGACCAATACTGTTTAACACCTTCACTAATGATCCAGAGGGTGGGACAGGACCCACAGGAATTTTGCAAATGACACAAAACTGGGAGGAGTTGTTGATACACCAGATGGTTGTGCTGCCATTCAGAGGCACCTCGACAAAATGGAGAACTGGATAGACAAGAATCTGTACTGGTTTTGGCTGGGAGAGAGTTCATTTTTTTCACAGTAGCTCACATGATGCTATGTTTTGGATTTGTGACCAAAACAGTGTTGGTAATACACTGATGTTTTAGTTACTGCTGAGCAGTGCTTACACAGAGTCAAGGCCTTTTCTGCTTCTCACCCCACCCCACCAGCGAGTAGGCTGGGGGTGCACAAGAAGCTGAGAGGCTACACAGCCAGGACAGTTGATGCCTACTGACCAAAGGAAAATTCCACACTATATGATGATGTCATGCTTAGCAATCAAAGCTAAGACGGGGGGGAGGTGGGAGGGGGGGGGGGGGGGAGCAACATTTGGAGTCATGGCAATTGTCCTCCCAACTAACCGCTATGCGTGATGGAGCCCTGCTTTCCTGGAAATGGCCAAATATCTACCTGCTGATGAGAAGTACTGGATGAATTCCTTACTTTGCTTTACTTGAGTGCACAGCATTTGTTTTACCCATTAAACTGTTTGTCTCTCAACCCACGCATTTTCTCACTTTTACCCTTCCACTCATCTTCCCCATCCCACTGGGGGAGGGTGAGCGAGCAGTTGTGTGGGGCTGAGCTGCTACTGGAGTTAAAACCACAACAGAATCTCATGAAGTTCAACAATGGGACTTGCCAATCCCTGCACCTGGGGAGGAATAAGCCCTTCCACAAGTACAGGCTAGATGTCAAGTGACTGCAAAGCAGCTTGGCAAAAAAACCAACTGGGGCTCCTGGTGGACAGCAAGATGACCATGAGTCAGCAATGTGTCCTTGCTGCAAAAAAGGCCCACAGTGTCCTGGGCTGCATGAGGACAGTATCAGAAGCAGGTTGAGGGATGTGATCATTCCCCTCTACTCAGCACTGGTGAGACACCTCTGGAGTGCTGGTACCAGGTGTGGGCTCCCTCGTACAAGAAAGTCATGGACTTACTGGAGAATGTCCAGCGAAGGACCATGAAAATGATTGTTCTATCATAACAGTAGATTGTTCTTTTATATTTCTCATTGTTCTTTTAAGCCCTGTTTTGCAAACGTGGAAGCTGACACTAAGGATACTTGCCTACATTCAAATGGGTTTTCTACAATGGCTGCATTTAAACATGTATTCATTTAAACGTGAATACAAAGCCCTATATAGCCCAAACCAGATGTGGGATAAAAAAAGATGCAGTATTTCTCACATGTTTGCACCCACCTAGTGGCACTATATTTTTGTAGGAATATATTGATTCCATTAAACTTCTCAAGAAGGAAATGGGGAGAGGGAAGAGTGAACATTTGATATGAAGAATTATGCCCTACTTTGTTTAATTCAGAGTAAATGTAAGAACACAAGTCATCTTACATACTACTTTCATCATATTTCCCATTTAAATTTAGCTGAAATACAACACAGAAAGTGGCACGGAGAAGACTTTTTGTTGCTATTTTAGTAGACGTGGAAAACATCAGATAATTTATCTGAGTGATGTGGTCTGTCACATGCCAGTAAATATAACCTCAGTAACTATCCCTCGTGACATCAACTTAGTAGCAGCAGAAAGCTGAGAAGCCATAAATTACATTTTAAACACGTTCATTTGTTTGCAGCAACAAATTCTAGTTTTCAAATTCATACCACCCTAAAATAGCATTTTCTTCCACCACAAAAGCAAATTTTCTAGGGCTGTTCTGACCCAAACCCGTCACCTCATTTATCTGCACTCTGAAATGCTGCCATTATGAAGCTATTATGAAGCTTAAATATTTACTATACTACAAACATGTATTCTTACATAATGATGAGCCAAAACAACAAGAAGCACTGACAGAATGGAGATCAGTAACTTTGACCATTAGCCTATATAGCTCTTCTTCCATAAGCAATTCATTTGCACTTACCTTAAGATTAAATGAATCATCCTCTGGTGACTTTATTCATTATAAATGCAACCTGAGATGGCCACCATAGCCTAGGATGACTAATGTCATACAAAGGTCATAGTCACTCTGCCAAAAGTCACTCTGTAAAGCAGTATCAACAATTTCCCCCGGTCAAGATGACAGACAAGTGCAAAGAATCATCAGAAAACCCCAGGGATTGTTTAAGTGACATGAGGTTAGACTGTTGTGGCAAACAAGTGAAATATTTTAAATGCCTTTAAAATAAACTATAAACTAGATACATATAGGTGATCCTACTATACTTCAGATCCAAAACTTTAAATTACAGTCTTCTCAACTTGTTTATGTTATCTCTAAATACAGACAGTCCCATTGCTTACTGTACCAAACTTTTTATTATTTCAAACAAACTTCTGTACAAAAACATCATAGCAGGCAAAGAAATTCAGTGACTTCAGCAAACAGCACATGACAACTCACAGAATGCTTTAAGGTTTACATTTTTATTATACAAGTGACAAATAGCCTTCCTCTGGGCTACTTAAAGATAAGACTTCATTGTTTGACAAATAATCGCAGGTAAGCATGTATTATTCAGTTATCAAAGCTCAACAGAATGACGTGTCATCCACCTAACTGGAAGTGACTATGAACAAAGCAGGATTTCCCCCAATATACATTTGTAAATGTCGCCCCATTAAAAATGGAGTTTGTAAACAGTGGATTTACTACTGTGAAAAAGCAGTGTGATCGCTGCTTCCAGAAAAAGAAAAAAAGTAATGTGATTTCCAATTCTGTTCCTGACAACAACATAGCGGTCTGCTGCTACAACTGTTGACGAGTGACATGAACACTGGAGTTGTGTTGCTGTCCAGTATCACCACACATATAATACTGGCGCCTGTGGATTCTGATCAGCCTTGAGAAACATCATAGCGGTAGTTCTGCTCAGAAATAAACTCTAAGGCAATTCCTACGCCAAAGAACTTATGATATTAATACTGTTCAAGGACTGAGTTCAATCACTGAATTTGTCACAGTGCAGCTGAGTTTCAGCAGACCAAATGCATCTTCAAAGTCTTAAGGTAATGTTTTCAGAAGTGATATGCATGAAAATCCCAGTGAGAGCACACAAACCCTGATTTACATACACAGGAATAAGCAAATACAAATCTGAATCTGTGCACAAGCACTGGTGTTTTCACACATACATGCAAGCAAAGAACACAAAATCAAACACTTTTTCAGAACATGACCTCTGCAAGAATATGTACAGCAACTGCAGACCACCCAGAAGACACACTTAACAGAGCTTGAGCTTTGCTGCTTTCGGCGAAGTATTTCTATTCCATTTACTGGAAAAATTACTAGAAAGTAAGAACAAACAACTCAGCAAGGAACTCCTTGAAGCATCAATCACATCTCAAAAACCAATGAAGAGCAGTCAGCTGAAATATATTTCTGTCTTGGCTCTGAATCATCTAATGCATAATACTATTAAGGAACTTGATGGAGTACCTAAGAACAGCTCAGCTCTTAAACTTATTTATATAAACCCTAGTCTGACGAGGCCAATTTGACACTAGGGAAGTTTGCTGCTACAGAAGTGTGTTCTGCTTTATACCGGTTTATATCAGCAAAGAAATTACTTACCAGGTAGAGCTGTCTGAGAGATAATGTTCATCACTGTATATTTACACTGACAAACCCTTTCTAGTTAAGTCAAGGCATTAGCATTTTCCCTTTCCTTTCTAAATCTCATAAAATTATACAGAATTTTCAAAACCTAGGAATGGTCTTAAAGCAAATTTTCTGTTCTGAAACAGGACACTAATTTTCTCAGTGGTTGAAAGGTACAGTTTATACTTAATAAGAGAGGTAAAATGATCTCTTTGCAATAGATTTTTGGATGTCAGCCAGCACATAATACTTAAAATTAGGTGTATCTCCACTTGTTACAGGAAAGACAACATATTTTATGAAAGTGATGAACATTCAGTTATTCTCCTATTCATACAAGTTTGCAGAGATCCTAAAACTAACTAAAAAACTGTGCACGTATGTTCTTAAAACATATCCAATGAATTATACTTTCCTTTATATAAATTTTCTCCTTCTTTAAAGTTCATTTTCTGGGGTATCTTTGACATTTCAGTTTCATTTCCATTTTGTCTTCGCTACTACATACTTCTCTGATAGAGAACGTGTTTAAGGATTAAAATGCACAGATAAACTGTCGTAGCTGAAGTATCTAAGTAAAAAAGTATTTTAAAAGTCAAAAGATAAAGGCTAGCATAAAAACTTAGGCTGTACTATATAAAGTCAGTCAGGTTATGAACAGATTTATATATTTTAGCAATGTGAAGAAAATGGTTATGTAAATACACACAAGTATTAACATCAAACTGTATTAAATTATGTAAACATACACATCTTCTGTGATCAATACAAACATCTACTTGTCTCAGGATACTACTGCAGCATAGCTCGAATTTGTTTTGAAGTAGATTCGTCATTCAGGTGTTTTGTAGTAAACCTAGAAATTACAAGTTAAAACAATATTTTATAAAATGAACAGGGAATAGAAAAATCTGAAAACTTCAGTGCCTGTTCTTGAAATCAGTGTAGATCAATTACACAAAGGAGGAACTTACATGTTCCTCTAGTCACTGATCACTGGAATTTAACCACCAATAGTCTGGTGCTCTTTATCTTCTAATACCTCTTGCGATAAACTATTCCTTGTTAACAGGTGGAGAATTGTGGCTAAATCCTGATTAAATACTGTTTGCCATCTGTCCATGACATTGTCATAATTTTGGGTCAAAATTACCTCTTTTTTTTTCTTACCAGTTAGAAGTCTCAAAAGAAGTAAAAAATATGCAAAGACATAAGAAATAGGTTAAAAAATAAAAGGACTTAGGAATTTAGCTTGAATTTTGGCATAATCTGTAAGCCTCATTTTAAGCAGATTTCTTAAATATCCTGTACCTTTACACCTTACAATGTACCATCAAATAGAGGGGTTTTTGGATTTTGTAACCTGCAGATTTTGTTTGGGGCCAAGGTACACTTCTGGGAATACTGTGGGAGGACTGATGAGCTTTAATGTGGGGGTTTTTTTTTCCATTTAAGCCCAAACATTCTTCACTGTTTATATTCGTAGGGAGATCAATCATAAGCTCAAAATACACCTGATACAAACATTCTTCACTGTTTATATTCGTATATTCGTATCATAAGCTCAAAATACACCTGATGCCTGTAGGATTTAACTCCACATCAATTTTAATTCAAAAGACATGATAAGCAAATATAGAGGTGGTTATGGCTGCAGTTCTCAATCCATCCAAGTATTCAACAGCTAGAGAATTCAATTCAGCTCTGAAAAACTTGGTACTAAGACTCCCTTCTCAGCTTCAGAGAAGGGTCAGACCCTTTTGTCTTGCTTCCCAAGACAGCACCTTCAACACTTAGCTACAGGATTGTGACTTAGGTTGCTATTTTCTTAAAGTTATATCATTTAGCAAAAATAAATAATAAAAAAAAAGTCTTATTAAATCACATGGAAAGAGAGAAAGGAAATATCAAGGTTTTGAGAAACAGGAATTTGACTCTGGTTCTAAAATGTTCTAGTTGCTGCGGTATTTTATATAACAAATCTTAGCTTAGATATGTTGTTTACCTTTGCTGTATTGTTTACCTTTTAGTTGGCTAAGTTTTAGGTGATAAAACAAATCTTAACTATACCTGAAGAAGGACATTATGGCTTCCAATATTAATAGTCATTGCTTATGAAAATGAAATGGAATTGAAAGAAATTAGTATTACTTAAGAAAACCCCAGGGGACGAAGGCAAACCTGAAAGGACAATTTTCTTGATAAATCTAGCTTCTAAGGTGAAAAGTCCTACATATAAAGAGATTGTGAGAAAAATAGGAGGTAATTTGTTAAGGCTGAATCAAACAATTATTCCACACATACCTGAGAGCATTCAGAAGTCCTTCCACAGTGTCAGGTGGTTGTTCCTTTAAAACTTTTATGCATCCCTTCATCTGGGAACAGAAGCATGCCACTATTGAACAATAATATATGAATTGCACTAGCTGAAGACAAGGAAAAAGTTCACCCAAGACACACAGGGTTTTTTTCCTACCGAGTGCTAACGCTGCTTTACATGACACAATAAAAGCATTATAACTTATTAAAAATTATCTTAAAAACCTAACTTTTGAGAGAACAACACCTACTTTAATAAGTGTTTGTAGGCAGTAAATTATATATCAAGTATATATATTTTAACTTGCACATTATTTCTCCAATTCCAACGTAAAAAAAATTATCAAGAACAGCTGATATGAGCTAAAAAAAGGTTTTGGAAGAGAGTTCCACGTCACTGCTGTTAGCAACTATCAGAAGAGATGTTTTAACTTTGTTATATGCTTGAGCACAAGGAAGTAATTTTCATTATTCAGTTTTCAGTTGCAAACCTAACTGGTGCTAACTTATGATTTGTTTTATAACTAGTGGTTACAAACTTAATCTGAGATAAGAAGTCCATGATGTTGATTCTAAACACCACACTGAATGAACACCTTTGTGCAGACTCTAAAAAACAGCCCGAAACTCTATCCAAATTTACAAAAGAGAAAATGAAGCAGAGAAAGCAAGGGTAGAACTCATTTGACCCTCTGTACAGAGCCCCTATCTACTAAATAGAGATAAATAAGAAATTCCTCTAACCAATTCAGAATATACTTTCAGATGTAGGAAATCGTGCTCCAGAAGTACCTACTTTTTCCCATTGCTATGAAGACATCTAATACGTACCCAGAAATTAGCCTAGATGAATTCGATTTTAGTTAAAATAACAGATAAATGGCAGAGTCAAGATTTGAACCTTCTCAAGTCACATTACAGTGCTAAATCTACATGCCAGTATTTTCTTTGTAGCTAAGGAGCAACTCTGCCTTATTATGCAAGTGGATGATTAAACACTTAACTGAAGTCAGGGTCCATGTATTTGCCACTAAAAGTTATTTGGAAAATGTGACTCAGCCTTCTGCGCAATGACCAGCCTAATAATCACTGATCACTGCTCAGTTGTCTCACTTCTACTTGGAAGATAAAACTAGCTACACAAATAGTTGATCAGATGAAATTCTCAGGGTAGCGGCTCATATTTTTAAGTGGCAGAGTTACTTTTCCTGAACTACAGAAACTCAAGACTATATTCATATCACTCAGTACAGGTTTACATGCCTCATCAAATCAGACAAACTCAAAGGAGATAAAAATTCAAGCCATTCTTTTCTTTTCTTGTTAGAAGCAGAATCCCTAAAACAGTCAAAGACAAGAAGCTGTTAGGATGTCTACGCTAGGAGTCTATAATCACCAGCTTGAAATAAAGTCTTCAGTCTTGAAAGAGGAAGGAAAGGGTAATTTGTTCCACTGTCCCTGAAATTCTTTTGAAATGGCTCCCAAGAAATGACTAGCTTGGAGAAAATAATTGCTTTTTGGAGTAAAACAAACTCATCTGAAATATTATAAGATTTTTTTTATTAGAGAAGAATCACTAAGCTAATTAAGCAAATTAAAATTTGGGACCACGTACTCATTTTTAAAAACTGAGTAATAGATCTCCTGTCTCCCATTTACATCTAGCTAACTACCCTGTAAGATTACAGGGCTTTACAATAAATGTGAGAAAGAATGTACAAGCACTGTGCAGTTGGTCCTATCAAAATTTTACTTGTGTAGTCTCTGTAGGCAAGAGACTGAATTAGAAGTCAGGAAGTCTGCATTCAATTCCCAGGCTCTATCTGCTGCATGACCTTGAGCAAATCGATTCACCTCTTTGTGACATTATCTTTCCCTGTGTAAAACAGAGTCAAAGAGGGGCCGTGGTAAAATACTGGTATCTGCAGATGAAAAATGCTAATGAAGACTTAGTGTCATGGAGCACAATAATTTATTTTTTTTTGCCTCTTTTGAAGTAGGTTCTCTTGTAAAGGGAAAGACTTAGCATCTTTTTTCCATGAATTACAGTTTATTTCTGCTGAAAGATATGGTGCATGATTTTTAAGTTTGTAAAAACTTGTAGCCCAAATAATAGTACTTTTTTGTTTTGCAATATCTCAGATGTAAAAATAATGTTGATTTCCCTGTGACTGGTGAGGCCAAAGCTAAAACTGAAGGCTCATTATCAACATTACAACAATAACATTTCAGTTCTGCTACCTTAGCCCTCAGACAAAGAAGAGACAATGTGGAATATCTGCTTATTTACAACCGAACTACTACCAAAGAGGAGCATTTCAGCATAAATAAATTACATGATTAATAAAAAATTATGACCACAGAACTTATTCCAGGGTATGTGTAACACAAAATTATTTTAGTGTAACCATAAAGTTGGCAGGAAAGCAGAGCTAACAAAGATGGGTATCTGTGGCTAGAAGAAAATACAAAGAAAAGAAGACTGATCTTTATTTTAATTTCAAACAAGCTGATATATTAAAGCATGCAAGTGAAGATAAATTCTAAATTTTGCCATTCAAAAGTAATTAAAATTATTTATACAAAGTCATAAGCTTGGGCTGAAAATATCTGCAGACTAGTGTTCTCAAACCTATAGAGTATTAAAGAAAAGTCACTCTTACATCAATCTTTGATGTCTTTGAGAAAGCTCCCACAGGATGAACGTGATCGTACAGAATAATAACTCCCACCATTACTCGCATGCAGAACATAAGGGTCTCTTCACTGGTGAATCGACTCCTGTACTCTCTGGAAAACAGACAAAAGAAACAGAGTCTTGACTTTCGAGTGGACAATTTTGCAAGTTAGACTACGAGTGCATGAAATCTAAACATTGCATTTTAAGGCTGAAGATGAATCTTAGTAAGATTTTAAAGATCTTCGAATTGCATAAGTGCTTGTCAATTTAGCAGGAAGCTTAGAAGCAAATAGATACACGTAAACTCCTTCTAACACCCCTTCACCGCTCAGATCCTCACTTCAGCAAAATGTCTAAGATGACAGCTTCACAGACTTCCACACTTCATGATATACGATGGAGACTGATTGTACTTAAATTCCTACTTTGAAACAGTTAACATTGAGGTGGGAACTAATTTCAGCAGCTAGTAAATGCAGGTGAGCTAGGTGGGTCATAGTCATGGCGCTCTCTCGCTCTCTCTCTCCCCCCTAAGCACATGGGCAACTTCAACAACTCAGGTTCACTAAGTGTCTAAAATGCAGAGGCCCAGTAGATAGGACTGGACTGAACTCATTCCGAAGAGTTTTTCTCTGACTTTTCAATCGCAAAATAATAATATGGATGGCACAGTTAAGACAGTCCCTATCAGCTCTAATCCCTGAAACCATAATCAGGAAATGAAAATAAACTATAGTAGGGAAAAACAGAAATCCTGAAAACCAGAAATTATCACAATTTTTCTAACAAATTTTGAGTAGAAAATACATAGATTTGTCTACTATTACTCACTGGTTTTCAATATAAAACTTGATTTTTCACTTAAACACATAACTAAAACCACTCAAATCTGTACCATACTACCTCTCAGTTTACAGTAACTTCGACTTTTATTCTTTTGTTCTTCTGTTTAAATAACACGGCATCATAACATGAACAGATTTAAAGGCTACAGACTTTTTGATGTGAAAACGCTTGATTATCCCACAATTAGAACTAAATATCAGATAATCTTCTGGTAGATGACAAACAACTTTCTGTTTCTCTACTTTTGCCAAAAAATGAGCTGACACATAAGGTTAGTTTTCAGTGACTGCTTCTAAGATGTCCCTGGATTGTGAGATGAGTCCCACCACCTACATATACTTTTCCAGAATTTTCATAAACAAACACAATAACCTCAGGAATTCTACCCTTTCCATGGCACCATGAACAAACAATTCAAAGACAGGAAGATGATGCTGACTCTATCTTGTATGTGTTTTCCACTCAAAGAGAAGACATCTAACCTAAAAAATACTTGACTAAACGCATAGCTAAACAACAGTAACCTCACTGGCTATACCTATGCTAGCAGCTACGAAAACAGCTGTACCGTTTCCATACAGCTGAAGTTTCTCACATCCCGAGTAAGAGGGCTACATCCAAAAAGACCTACCCAAATAATCCTCAAAATAGTCCCTGTGTCTCATTTGTGAAAACGCTACCTGGAAAAGCCAAAATCTTGCCCCTAAGTGGGCTAATAACAGCAGCATGGGCAATCAAGAGACAGCAGTTGGCCCTGGTTAGACAAGACACAGACACTGAAGCCTATGAGTGCACACGATTGCACTTTTATTTTAACCTTTTGTTTAAGAAACAGGCTGGCCATGTAAGCTCTCCCTAACAAAACTCAATGCTGATTCATAAAGAATATCATAAGGTCGTTAAAATAGGAAGCAAGGCTTTCTAATACCAGGTCATGCTTTGTATACAAATGTGATAACAACTTAAGTCAAACATACAGGAATTCATTTGGAAAAAACTGTGTTTATCTCAGGTGGCTACTTAAAATACAATACAAATTCTCTTATACAAGAAAAACAAGATTTAGGGTAAAACTTACGGTGTTTCCAACATGACTTTACATACACTAGCCATAGTACTTAGACAGTCCGTTGTATTTTCAATCGGTAACGTTTTGTTCTAGAAGGGTTAAAGACAGACAATGTGCAGTCAACCACCTTGTAAAATTAAAATCAAGAATGTCTGTGTTAGATCTTTCCTCCCCCATTACCTACTTCTGATACAAAATGTGTAGTTGCATTACTGAGTGTTTTCAGCATTGGTGTGGCTTCTGCATAAAACAGGGACATCCTATTGGCCATTTCATTGTTTACTTCATTCTCAATGTCTAGCTGATGAAAACATGAGAAAAAAATAGTCAATAAAACTCTTTAATATCTTGCCAGAGGCAAGATAAAGATACAGTACATGCTCATGTCAGCAAGCAGATTGTCGCATGAATAGTTCCACTCTAATCACTTCATCTGGACTGCCGATTAACTCTTGGTGTGAAGGAGAGAACATGACAGCTAGCGAATCAGAAGAAAAAACATTACCACTAATGGTATAAATGGACCGTGATAAATACCTCAGTGTGAACAGCAGATCAGGTTTTATTTACTTACATGCATGTTGTTTATCCTGTTGCGACTTATTGTCCGCCTGTAATAACTAAAGTCATTCTGAATTGCTGGGTTTCTCATCTGAGAGGAAGACAAATAAGAAATAATCACTTTCAGTTCAAAATACATGGAAAAAATCAGGATGTATTAGAAGATTTTATTAACCTTAAGTTCATCAAAACGAAGAGTAAAATGTAAGATTTCTGCAAACTCTTTCGCTAGAGCCTGTTCCCGTTCCAGGTGCTGAGTTGGAGTATAAGGTGGGCACGTCAAGGACTCCAGTAAGCTCTGCAGGGCTTTCTCTGAATAAAAATCAGAAGCACAAATTCTATTCAGTCCACATTATGACAAAGTTTTAATTAAGCGTCTAAATATACTTTGCTTGAAGGGAAGGAACCCCCTGAACATGCGCAGCCCTAACAGAAATGCCTTTATAAGGCTATTACAGGGCGAGAAACATTAGTCAGAGACATCTGCCTCTTTGGGCTCTCTGCTGTTTTCTCTCCATTTTGTATCACTGAGCTCTTTTCCCTTTTTAATCACCCTTTATCTTGGTTCGCTATCGAAAATTCTAGAGAAAGCATCTTGCATTCAGATATTCAACGCTTTCTCTTTCATCTTCCCCAATTAGCCACCAGCTCAGTACAAAGATTATTCTGGTATCTCTGTAACTAAAAGTGTACACTTAGGCACCGACAGCAATGTAATTCAGCTCCCGCAGCTATAATTACGAGCATAACTCAAGTGAAAGGCTTAGTAAGCAGGATGGTGTAGAAGAATTCCCTTGCATTGGGAGCTCTCCCACTTTATACATAAATTTTTGCACACTAGTTCTCTTCTGGAGTCCTAATTCAAGGAGTAATTACATAATCTGGGGGGGTTGCAGGGATGACAAAGTCGGTGTAAAGCATGCCCAACTTTGGATTCTCACCCTGTGAGACAGTTTATTGATACTCTTCTCCCCCTGTTATCCCTGTTTTTAAAAAGTCTCAAAATATTGGTTTACATTCCTTTTAAAACTCTGAAGGACCCAAGTTACAAAAAATAAATGACAGTAGTACCATATGGACCAGTGAAGTGCAGAAGAGTGGCAGGCACCAGAGAAAAACTTCATACAGTTATATCACATTCTTTGCTTGTACTCTATTTAGATAATGCAGATTTATTTTAAGTGATAATACAATAAATTTGAAATTAAATTAAGATTATAAATAGGCCTTGAAAACATAACTGCAGTTGAATGTCTGCTGATACCAAGCAGAAAGAATAATAACCCTTTAAAAGTCTGTGGAAAAAGAAACTTCCTATTTCTTTATATTTAAAGTAGCCTAATAAGCAGACATACTAAAACGGGGCTCACCTAATCTGAGTGAAAACTCATAAAAGCGCTTCAGCCTTACAACCAGAGGACATACTGAATTCCATGCTTTTTCTTGCAACTGGATATCATTGGGGTTTTGTATTGCCTGAAATGAAAATATTACTGTAAAGAACTGTAATCCATGAATAACAAGCAAAAGATGGCTTGGAAGTTTTCTAGTTCACCATTTTAGAAAGTTAAGTATTGTAAAACATAGAACAATTACAAGAAATTGCATTGCACAGGAATAGGAAATTAGAGAGTCCAAAAAATACCATTTTTTCCACCTTCCCTTTCCCCCTGTACCATAGTTATTTAAAATTATTCATTCAAATGCACCACTGACACACAACAATATGTTTTAACACGTTATTCGGGGAAAAAATATGGCAGAAGCATCAAGGAAGACCTTTTGTATGATTACAGGTTACAGAAATAGCCTTTTCTTAAAGATTCTGATGCTTTTGACATCTTGGACATACTCAGGCTCTTAAGTAACCAACAGTTCACACTAACAGTAACTGCAAAGCTGATGCAGGGAAAGGTTTTGTCAGTTGAGCCAAATTCTAAGTTACAGTTCAGAACTGTACTTCAGGACCAATTTCATAGAATAAGATGCCTGCAAAGTTGATGTAAGGTTATAATTTATTTTGTTTCATTATTTTACTTACACAGGCAAACAACTACTTTCAACTGTTTTTATAGTGTATTTCTAACAACTGAGTACTATTTCTTCCATATCCTCAACTTTGACTTCTACTATAAGATATACGAAATGGGGTATACAAAATGGTGTTTCTCAAAGTGAAAAATAATTACAAATTACTAACAGTAAACCTAAAAGAAGTTCCAAGAGCCACCATTTAATGCTTTGACATTAAGGCTCTATATTCAACATTACACCTGATCTGTAACATATTTTCTAAATACAATTTTAATGAAGATTTTCATATCATTTCATAGAACGTGCTTGGATACAGAACAGAAGCAAGGAACACATTGAGTTTTGCTTGGTTTTGCTTCCAAAGAACTGTCATTAACTTTAACAAACATACATCTCTAATTTCTTGTCCAGCTCCTTTGTAAGCCTGAAGGTCTGCAAGCATACTTTCCGAGTCCTGTAAAACTGCACTGATCTGATTCCATACCTCCCTTTCTCCTTCTGTGGGCTGTGCATCTAAGAAACAGAAAAGCAAAATGCACAAAGTCAAGAGGAAGCTGCAATACAAACGGCAAGATTACTCAGCTCTACTTAACACATTATATCCAGACTGACTATGTGTAACTCCTTTCTGATGTGTTTTTTAAAAATACACAATTATACTACACTGCCATTCTGCTAACATCCAAGTTTTTGCTTTCTACCGCAAGGAAGGTAAAGCAGTACAGTTTTTGTACGCTCTGGCTCATAATGCCTGTTCTAAAAATGCAGGATCTTAAAGTGAAGCAGCATCACACAGCAGCATTATTAGAAAATTAGGCTAATACATCAGTCCTTTAGTAAAAATGTCCCTCTCTTTCATGAGGTCCACAGCTCAATTACAAAGAATTGTTTGCTTTTCTTGCAGCTTGGGGATAAAATCAGGCCTTGCAGTGGATGGAGCAGTGGGATATTACACCACTTTGACTTTCCTCCAGGCTAACCTAACCAGGGCAATTTATTTCTACTTTTGTAAAACACTAATACAGTACTGTTAAAAATAAACATTTTTCTTATGTATGTCAGAGATCATTCCTGCGGCTAAAATAAATCTAGCTCTGTCAATGATCAGTTTTCAGGGTGGGAGTGACCTGTAGACCTTTATTGTTCGGAGAAACGGCATTTGGAAGTAGATCAATTTTCCCATTCAAATCCCATCCAATGGGATTTGCACAGCAGCACCACCAGGGAGTGATGCTATCCCTAGAATGTCACCACATTAGATAAGGTAGAGATCTTTTGCCTTCTTTTGCTTTAAAACATAAAGATGATTGGCACTGACTAAAGACTGGGTGACGTACAGGTAGAACTGTAATCAGTATTTGTAGAAACAATCACATTTGTGCTGGTTTTGGCTGGGGTAGAGTTAATTTTCTTCGCAGTAGCTAGTATGGGGCTATGTTTTGGATTTGTGACCAAAACAGTGTTGATAATACACGGATGTTTGAGTAATGCTGAGCAGTGCTTACACAGAGTCAAGGTCTTTTCTGCTCCTCACACCATCCCACCAGCGAGTAGGTGGCACAGGGATTTGGGAGGGGACACGGCTGGGACAGCTGACCCCCACTGACCAACGGGATATTCCATACCATAGGATGTCATGCTCAGTATATGGGGGAAGAAAGAGGAAGGAGACACCTGGAGTTACGGTGTTTGTCTTCCCAAGTAACCGTTACTCGTGATGCAGCCCTGCTTTCCTGGGGATGGCTGAGCACCCGCCTGCCCGTGGGAAGCAGTGAACAATTCCTTGCTTTGCTTTGCTTGCGTGTGCGGCTTTTGCTTTAGCTATTAAACTGTCTTTATCTCAACCCACGCGTTTTCTCACTTCTGCCCTTCTGATTCTCTCCCCGTCCCATTGTGGGGGGAGTGAGCGAGCGGCTGCGTGGTGCTTAGTTGCCAGCTGGGGTTAAACCACAACACATTGTCCCAGCAGATTTCTACAGAGACTTTTTTTCTTTTTTTTTTTTCTGAAATTTCTGTTACCTTATAGAGATAGAATTTTAAATTTTATGGAAGAAAAAAAAAATCTCTGAAGGTAAAGCTTAGGACTTCAGGACTACTTGTTTGAATTAAAAGCAATGAGATACCTTCAGTTCAAAACTCACCAATTAGGAAGAACTACTGTATACATCTCTACACTAATAGACAAGAAATATTAAAAATACTTTTTCTATTTAGTCTTCTCACTCTCCTTAAGAAATGAGACACAGTTTTCCACCCATATATCAGTACAGGATTCATTTATCCACCCCACATTAGAAACAAATGAACCGGTTCAACTTGGAGAGTACTGAAACAGCAGGTGCTCTCGAAGCTTCTCCGTGACGTTTCAGGTTAGGATGACTTGTTTAAATGTGTCATCTATGGACCTGGCACCAGCCAGACACAAATGGCTGAGACTTATGTGTCCATAGCTCTGAAGCAACTAATACTTAAAATCTTTTCTATATTCACAAGTCATGACGAGTCCCATGAGACCGGGCACATGAAATGATAGTGATCTGACAATCCTTCTATCCTGTAAGTTTTCTCTAATCTTGTTTAAAAGATGGAATGAGTAAAAGTAAAAATGAGCTGAGCTTACTCAGCTGGGTTTTATATGCAAAATACTTAATGTAAATAAAAAATTCCACCATCCTCCAAAAAGCGAGGGAAAGTAGCACCAAAGGGAAAAACTACCCTCAACGGCAAAGTCCCAGCTGGGACTCGGCTGTCGAATGGAACTACTAGTCACATTGAGTTTACAGTGACACTGACCGGTTCTTTCCCCAAGCTGCAAGAAATCTCAGGTACATACCGTAACAGGTCTGTCACCTCGTGATAAAGAGGGGAAAAAAAACAGTAAATGTTTCTCAGCTTAACGAAGAAAGTGGTAATCTTGCTAAACGGTTACATACCATAGAACAATAGAGTAAGAAGGTAGGAGTCACATATAAATCAATATCTATATTTTAATAGGTAAATAGAAGTTAATTAAAATAACATTTTCAGTGAATATTAAGGCACAAAAGAGAATAAGTAATTTATTAGTACAGTTCATGAGTGTAAAATTTGCACATTCAGGTCACCTGAAGCATGGGTTGGTTAACCAGGTACTTCTATGTTACTTTTTGCAATTTATTTGCTTTAAAAAACATTACCCCCTAACAAAAATGTAAACACTATAGACTGTTCAGCTCTATGAGACATAAAAATGGGCTTTAGTAACACCCTTTATTGTTAAGTCTTTTTCAAATTTTCCCACTTCATCTTTTGGAAGTTGGGGGAAGGTTTAACATTTGAAACCAATTGAGCTTTCTGTAGTATCCCAGCACCTGGGGAAGGAGGAGTAGGAGGAAGGTAGGTGGGTGGAAGAGGGCAAGAAAGGGAAAGGAGAGGAAAAGGACGGCAAAGGCTACAGAGCAACAGGCTTAGCTTGCATTTGCAGAAGCGGTTTGTATTTATGCTGAAAGTGTTTAGCTTAAACATAAAGGTAGGGAGGATGATTCAGGCTCTTTTAAAAAAAAACAAACAACACATGCATCTTACTTATGAAATATATGTTATGCAAACAGGTGTTCTGATAAGGCCGTGGCCATGTTTCAAAAGGGATTTTACATGAAGAGCTTGGCAAAAATGGTCAGCTAAAATACCTGTAATCCATCACTTTGAAAAAGATTTCATCTTGCTGTCAACAACAATTAAAGGGAATATAGACTTCTTCATGACAGTTTTTGGATTTTTAATTTGGTTTTCTGTTCCAACAATACCAAAGCTTGTTTCTCTGTTCTGAGTTAAAAAATGCCATTCCTGAATCACAGTGTGGAATCACTGCTTGGCAGTGCTTACCTCTTACCCCACACCAGAGAACCAGCACACGCTTAAGTAATTTGAGCCCATTTCTAAATAAAACCGTAGCCACTGACTAATCCACATCGAATGCAAGCCCTCTCAGTAATAAGTTACCATAATCACCGGACTTACTGCATTTCAAGTCTGAGTTTTTACAGTACCCAGGCCTTCAGAATACGCTGTCTTTACTAAGACAAAATGGGAATCCCATTCAACCTGACATCCCATTAAACCTGACAACTAAATGAATCCTCTATCAAATTAATTTACGAGTCAGAGGAGGCCTGGCTCTCCCACATATGGATTCTACAAACAAATTTTCATTTAGAAACCAAAATTTTACCTCTGGAGAGAAATGTAATTCCATTGGCTCCATCAGAAATAAGCAGGATATGATAATTCATCCATTCCATGAACAAATGCTCTCTTTCAACTTTACACGTGGTCTATTCCATGTTTTCCATGGGGCTTCAGATTTCATTAAAAAAAAGAGGAAAGCCAGACCAACTACAATCCATTTGTGGATGCATTAATTATTTCAGATGCATGGTGGGGTGGGAGGGTGGACTCTTTTTTTTTTTTTTTTTTTTCTCTTTGAGAAATACCTGTCATTTGTTTCAAAAAAACTCTACCAGCACAACGTATCTACCTTATTCTTCATCAAGTACACATTAGAAAGAGTACAGGAATTGCTATGTAGGTAAGACATCAGTACTCATAGGATGAGATTAAATATAAAAAGAATGGATAGGAAGCCTTTACCAATATAAAATCAAGTATTACAGTATCTCAGTAATTTTTTTTTTATGAGGTATAACAATATCTCGATAATTAATTTTAACAAAGAGATAACAGACAGTACTAAAAGAAGTACTTCCAACCCATACAGCCTTTCTGTATCTGAAATGCAGACCAAAAGCACAGAACTTTATTCCACCCTCAGTCAAACTGACTGCAGGTTAACAGGATTCCCACTGAAGCTGGTTAGTGGCTGCATTTCAGTGAACGTGGAATCATATTTGTAAAAACCACCGTAGCCGCCTGGCCTCGACAGCCTAGAAAAAGAATAGTGAGTAAAACGAGATGTCTTACAAGCTCTGCTTTCAGCTTTTCTTGCCCTGTCCACTACTGAACACGGCCAATAATTCCACCAGCCACTGACAGCAAGTTAAGAGAGCAGCACGTGCATTTTACTATATTGTGCTAAAGTCCTATTTCAGGTTTCTCACCATGACAATGATTTTTTCCATTCCAAAATGGGACAAAATCAGATGAAATGCTAGTTTATGTCCTTAGAAAAGACAACAGGCATTACAACTACAGTGAATAATGCATTTCGGAGGGTGTCAGAACCTGCTATACTCCATACATTGAAAAGAATAGCATTAGGAAGAAACAGTACCCTACGCAGCCTATGCTGGATTTTTGAATTTCATTCTTTCTAAACTAGCTAAACAAACTGAAGCTCCCTAAACTGTTCATACTTGCTACAGGCACGCTGCTGTGCCAGGGATATCAGTGCTAGGCTCCAGCTCCATGGTGGATGTGGAGCGGACAGCTTCTCTCCAACCGAGCCGGAGCTCCTCGCTTAGGGCTCTCTCTGCAGCACGGGAGATGAGTTTAATCTCCCACAGGCTGCATACAGA